TTATACATTTAATGAATTCACAAAAACAAAAAATCTGCAATAATGAATTGCAGGTCCTAGAAGGTTAAAACTAGTAAAACAGTAATTTCTTTCACATATTTATTTTCTTAACTTTCCCATTTCTTTTCCACAGGACAATTTCGGATTCGACCTCCAGGCGGTCGAGGCAGCTACCAAAAAGCACGAAGCCATCGAGACTGACATCGCGGCGTACGAGGAGCGCGTGCTGGCGGTGGTGGCCGTGGCCAGAGAGCTGGAGACAGAGAACTACCACGACATCAAGCGCATCGCCGCGCGCAAAGACAACGTGCTGCGTCTGTGGGAGTATCTGCTGGAGCTGCTCAAAGCGCGCAGACAGCGGCTGGAGATGAACCTCGGCCTGCAGCGCGTCTTCCAGGAGATGCTCTACATCATGGACTGGATGGACGAGATGAAGGTGAGCGAGGAAGACGAGGATGGAGGAAGGAGAGGGAGCTGGTCGGGTTAAAAGCAAGAGGTCTAGATGAAAGCTAGAGAGATGCAGAGAAGCGCACAGAGAAATCAAATTTAAAAATAGATTCTAGCAATAGAAGTATGAAAAAATTGTTCAGCTAAATTTTTTATATGTTTAAAGATGTGATTATTTGCTTTAGGTTTTATTAACCATAATATTTGCTTAGATTGACTATGCTCTATATGTTTTGGGTCCTATAGATGCAGTTCTGTTTTTGCAATAATAATAATCATAATTTTGAAACTAATTTATTATTTTCCCTCGATATATATATATATATATATAATTAAAAAAAAAAAAAATTTTAAATAGGTTGCTCTGACCTATAAAAAGCTTTTTGTTGTGTTCTTTTGTCATTTTATTTTTTAATTTTTATTTCTTGTAAATATTCCGTTTTCCTATTTCGGTTTAATTTATTTTTATTTCAGTTTTAGTCAATTTAGTACTTCAGCATTTTTTTTATTTTCAGTGTTTTATTTCAGGCTTATTTTAATAGTTTTAGCTTCAGTTTGAGTATTAGTTAACACTAAAAACACTGCCTGAAATGGAATCATCAGGGTTATTATAATTAACTAAAAGTAAAACCATAAAACTATTTTCGTTACTTGAAATAAAATATTTTAATTGAAAAAAAATTTAATTAATTAAATAAAAAAAACCTTTAAACATATTTTATTTTCGCTAATTGCAAAGACAACATTTCTTTATTTTATTTAGTTTATCTTGACATACTAAAATAACTAAAACTGAACTAAAAATTAACGAAAACTATATAGACATATTAAAAAAAAACAAAGAAAAATTACAAAAACACAACAAAATTACTAAAACTTGAACTGAAAATTAAAACAACGAAAACAGAAAATATAAGAATAAAAACGAAACAAACCCTGTGACCCTCAGGTCATCCGTGACCGCGTGGCCCACATGGAGTTCTGCTATCAGGAGCTGACCCAGCTGGCAGTGGAGCGTCGCGCCCGTCTGGAAGAGTCCCGCCGCCTGTGGAAGTTCTTCTGGGAGATGGCGGAGGAGGAGGGCTGGATTCGCGAGAAAGAGCAGATCCTGTCCTCGGACGACTGCGGCAAGGATCTGACGGGCGCCGTGCGTCTGCTGAGTCAACACCGCGCTCTCGAGGACGAAATGAGCGGCCGCGCCGGTCACCTCCAGCACACGGTGCGCGAAGGTCAAGCCATGGCTGACGCTGGGCACTTTGGCGAAGATAAGATTCGCGAACGCATCGCCGACGTCCAGGCCCAATGGGCCGCTCTGGAACAGCTCGCTGCGGTGAGGAAAAAACGCCTGGAAGAGGCTTGCAGCCTTCACCAGTTCCAGGCCGATGCGGATGACGTCGACACCTGGACTTTAGACGCGCTCCGAATCGTCTCCACCGCTGACGTGGGCCACGATGAATTCTCCACTCAAGCTTTGGTCAAGAAACACAAAGACGCCTCGGCCGAGGTCGCTAGTTATCGCTCGGTGATTGACGCTCTTCACGAACAGGCCCAGTCCCTGCCTCCAGAACAGGTGCAGGCTGCCAACGTCAACGAGCGGCTGGCGGGCATCGAGGAGCGCTATAAGGAGGTCTCCGAGCTCAGCAGGCTGAGGAAACAGGCCCTGCAGGACGCCCTGGCGCTCTATAAGATGTTCAGCGAGGCGGACGCGTGTGAGCACTGGATCGACGAGAAGGAGCTGTGGCTCAACAGCATGGAGATCCCAGAGAAACTGGAGGACCTGGAGGTCATTCAGCACAGGTGAGAGGTCAAGTCTGTGTATTTGTGGTCGTATTTATCACAGGCTTGTGCCAATTATTTGGAATTTGTGGCATTGCAAATTTCACTAACTTTGCAGGTTTTGAGCTATTACTTGATTTGCATCATTTTTAAATGTTTGATGTTGGCTTGAGAAAACCTATCCAGATAGTTTCAAAGTAGTGTTAAATTTGAAAACTTGAATAAAAAAAATAAAGTCGTTTTAGAAGCTTGAAGCAGTTTTAAGTTTGATATCATTTACAAAGCTTAAATTTTGAAGCAGTTTTAAAAAGGCAAGGTTTGAATGAGTTTTAAGTTTGAAGTACTTTATAAAGCTAGAATTTTGAAGCAGTTTTATATTTGAAGTATTTTTAAAAATTTGAATTTTGAAGCAGTTTGAAGTATTTTTAAGTCTGAAATAGTTTTAAAAGGTTGCATTTTGAAAAGGTTTTAAGTTTGAAGCAGTTTATAAAGCTTGATGTTTGAAGTTTGAATTAGTTTTAAAAATGCAAGGCTTGAAGGCGTTTTAATTTTGACGTGGTTTTAAAAGTTTAAAACTGTTTTAAATTTGAAGTGTTTTTTAAAACTTGAATTTAAAGCAGTTTTAAGTTAAAAGTAGTTTTAAAAGCTTGAAGCGGTTTTAAGTTGGATTTAGTTTGAAACGTTTGAAGTAGTTTTAAAAATCCAAGGTTTGGAGGCATTTTAAGTTTGACAGTTTTAAAAGTGTAAAGCTTTTTTGAATTTCAAGTATTTTTTAAAAACTTGAATTTAAAGCAGTTTTAAGTTAAAAGTAGTTTTAAAAGCTTGAAGCAGTTTTAAGTTTGAAATTTTAAATATGTGCATTTTTAACCAATTTTAAGTTTGAAATAACTTTAAAAAAACTTACATTTTGAAAGTTTTAGGTTTTAATTAGTTTTAAAAATTCAAGGTTTGAAGGAGTGTTACGTTTTCAATTTGAAATAGTTTTAAAAGCTTGAAGCAGTTTTATGTTTGAAAGTTTAAATATGTGCATTCGGAATCAATTTGAACTTTGAAGTAGCTTAAAAAGTTTTGAAGCCGTTTTACGTTTAAGGTAGTTTAAAAAGCTTTAAAAGGTTGTTTTAAAAGTGTGAAGCAGTTTTAAGTTTGATGTAGTTTAAAAACCTAAATTTTGAAGCATTTTTAAATTAAGGAATTTTACAAGTTTGTAGTTTTTAAGTCCATGCTGCCATAAACGGATTGCTGTCCGGTTGCTAGGCAGTTGCTGTGGTGTTCTGGGTTCTTGCAAGGATGTTGCAAGATGGTTATTAGGATGTTCTGTGTTGCTTTTAGAAGGTTTCTAGGGTGGTCAGAAGTCTGAAGGTCTGAGACGAGTTTGGTGGATGTAGCTTGAATGCTCTAGGAATATTTGTCTAAGAAAAATAATAATGACTAATAAGTTTAGGTAGTAGAATTTTGGCTTTCTCAAGCCAGCATGATTAGGAGCGTTTACTGCCACAGCTGTTCATGCTGAGTCACGCCGCTGGAGAACAGCAGTACAAATGATCATCTGAACGTTCTCTGAGCTCGATAACAGATTGAACTCACTCTAGTGTGGCCAGGTATCACATTTTCCATTTCTCAAGGACAAATTGGCCCTTATTGTAAAACATGATTCTTCAGGAGTGCTGTTCTTGATGATTGTGTGATGAAATGTTTTAATTACCCTCCAGGTTTGAGAGTCTGGAGCCTGAAATGAATAACCAGGCGTCACGCGTGGCCGTTGTCAATCAGATCGCCAGGCAGCTCATTCACAGCGGACACCCGAGTGAGAAAGACATCAAAGCCCAACAAGACAAACTCAACACCAGGCAAGTCATAGCATTCTGTGCTGGTGACAAATGTATTTTTAAGTTCTGTGTAGAAAGCACAAATACCTGCTGAAAGTATTAGTATAGCTGGTCACCAGAACATATTGCTAGATACTGGTCATGGGATACTGATATGGCTGGGATACTTATATATATATA